ACATCCATCGCCGAGCCAAGACGATCCTCAAAGTCCCGGATGGTCGCGGACAGATCTCGGGCTGCTGCCTTCCTCATCCTCCTCACCGCCTCACGAGCCGCTGCCGCCCGAGACTACATACAAAAACATGTTCGCCACTTCCAGAACCCACCGAACATGCTGCTGCCAACCCTTCCTCATAGAGAGGCTAGTATCCTCAACAAACATCGTAGTAGCAGGAGTTCCCTTTACGCCGACCTTCCTGAACTTCGCATCCTCCTCCTCACGCTGATAGCGGCTCCTAAGGCTTTCCTCCCATCTCTGCTGATGGGCATCCTCCCACTCACTAGCCTGAGACCACCACTGTAACGGCTCAGTCTATCCCCATATCAATCTTCACCCTATCACATATCCCAGCCCCCCGCTTCACAGTAGACCCCAGCTTACCAATTTCTTCTTTCTCCTCTCACATGCCAATGTCTCATCATGGTTCATGAGCCGTCTATGTTCGGCCTCATGCTCCTCCAGCCTGCCACCGTAAATGCCATCACAGCTGTACAAGAACAGGCAAGAACACCAATAGTCTACCCTACATCGACAGCTCTCTAGCTCTCCTCTCCATATCCCGACGATGCTGCTGGAACTTATCCAACTTACGCGCCAACCGGGCAGCAGCCGATGCCGCTGACTGTGACATTCAAATGAGCAGCAACAAAGACTCGCCTAAAGACTGTGGAAGGCATCAAGACCTGGTTCCTCCAACCTCCCAAGAGCGTCTCCGAGAGACACTAAAGATAGTCGCATGAATACAATGCCGTTATGCTACGCTCGGGCAGACCAGCAGCATTCATAGTAAATGCATACAAACTGTACAAGCCTCAACGATCTCCCACACGACGAGACTACTCCCATATTGACATCACAACAAAAACTCCAATGCATTTGAAAAATGGTCATCACCATCGAAGCCAGCTCAGTCGGATTTAATGTTGCGGTATATCGCAAAGACGACTTACACGCCCCCAGGTACCCCACAGTTCCACAAAAAAGCGTCATTCCCAGACATATAACGCTGGTAGTACAGACGTAGTATAGCCATTGGGAGAAGCCGGACATTTGAGTCGAATGATAGTAATAGTATATTGAGTATATAGCAATATAGACACCAATGCTCGAGCTGCATAGGAAGCTCATCCACTGCCAACGATAGTCTTCATTATTCAATAGCAGATACACGCATGTTATTGATACACATATCACGACCATAGTGAGGAGCCCAAGAATGGCCAGCATAAATCCATACACGTAGTAGATCTTATTGTA